AGGTGATCCTCCACCGACGCATTGTTTTCGGCAATCGAGCGATCGTCACCGAGATCATCTGCGCGAGTTTCTCTCGCGTTTGCCGATCCAATCGGTCCAGCCGATCGGAGCATGGTCCGAGTGCGAGGAAGTCTGTAGAAGAAGCTATCGAGTGAGAGCTAACGAGACGACGTCGTTCACCGCGACCGGAAGGTCGCGTAGGTGTCGAGGTTGGCCGGGGTTGTCGACACCACGGCGAGCGCGTCGAGGAGGAGAAACGGCGGTGGTCGCGGTTAGCGTTTCGGCTAACGGTCGAAACGTCAATCCGTCAGTATACGCTCTAAGTTCTCGATGCTGCAGCCACCGTCTCCCCTCCTGGAGATGGCGTCCCTGAGACTACCGGATTCGGAGGAGTTTGACGTTGATACGCGCCGCAGGAGTAATAACGGCAACGTGCCAGCCACGACAGTCGCGACCGTGCCGCCGGGTACCGGCACCTTCCTGCAGATGAGGGACGATCTGGGTGATTATTTTAACAACCTGATCACGGAGGCGATCGCGACGACGAGCCCGCGTGCCACTATGGAGGATCAAGTCCTGTTGTTCAATGCCAGTAAGAACCTGTCGGTGATCGAGCACGCGTCCGATCGGTTCTATAGGCACAGCGTGGCCATGTCAGCGGTCTATTGTGTGGCTTATGTAGTCGTCTTCGTAGTCGGTCTGATCGGCAATAGTTGCGTTATCGCCGTGGTGTATCGGTCACCTCGCATGCGGACCGTCACGAATTTCTTCATCGTCAATCTCGCGGTGGCCGACGTGCTCGTCATTGTCTTCTGTCTGCCGGCCACGTTGATGAGCAACATCTTTGTCCGTGAGTATCGAGATACTTTTTCTCTTACGCTTTGAGGATTTTTATTTTTACTTCAAGCTTAATAAATATTAACGAGGAAGCAGAAATTTCTAGTATTTTTTTGTAGATTCAGAAAACGTATAAACGTTTTTTTTCCAGATGTTACTCTTCCAGATAGTATTACTTTTACAGTCATCGATATTCTATATCAAATTTCTTTTGTTTAAATTGCATGTTGTTTATTATATTATTTTTTTGGACATTCGTCAGTAGATTTAATTTAAGCATTGATCGCGAGATAACTTGTAAATCATTTTTTACTCCCACGTGAAGCGCAAGAAATGTTCCTTCGAGCGTAACAAAAATATTTATGAGCTACCCTCCAACGCTAAGTGTGCTCCATTTGGAAGAAGGAAGATTTCCAAGGGCAGTTAAGTGGTCGTCACAATGCATACAATTCTAATTTGACGTTGTGAACTTTTCGTTACAACCCCCTTTCCGGGTCGTGTAAGGGGGGTTGGTCCTAAGCCAGAGTGGGAAGGTGGTGCATTCCTTTCGTATTACTGTAAAATCGATCTTCGCGTCTCTCATTCCCTCTGCCACCCTTTGGCACTCGAGGCAACTCTCCAATTCTCGACGAGCCGACAGCCGGATCGCGAGTAATCGGTTCGTTCTCGGATAATAGCGCCCGGCCCGAGTTAATGACGTGCGGCATGAATTACGAAACGGCCCGAGAAATGGACAAATAGCGTGCAAATTTAGACGTTATGTTATGTCGAATGGTATCGACACTGTCGACTATATCGATAACCAAGTGAGTGGATGTCCAATCCGAAGTAATGCAAACAGATCGCAGACTTACGACACCGATCGCAATTTGAGCAAACAAACGGCGTATTTGCATTTCCACGAACATCATCACGCGGCTGACGCTCGAGTAGAGAGAAAACAGAAGAAAAAACACGTGGTTTGCAGCTCTTTAGAAAATCAACGGATCGTAACTCCGCCGTAATTCCGTCTGTTAATACGTGCGTGAAAATCACGCGGTTTGCACGCATCGCCGTATCGCGTACGAGCTTCCAATTAACTCGTGCTGTGAGCTTCATAAAAACTCACATTTTTCGCATGCTTCGATCGAGCGGTGTATCGCCGTAAAAAACTGATGCATTAATACCGTAATATTCAAATATTAGACATCTAATTTATTTCATTAAATTACTACTAATATATTTGCGCGATAATTTCAAATAACACACATGTAAGATAATTATATACATAAAATGTTTTTTCAACGATATTTTCTGAGATTGAAGTAAATCTTAAGAGATGTTTAAAACAATGCAAAAGCAATTATTAATATATTTGCGCGATAATTTCAGATAGCACACACGTGACGAGATGATTATTTTTGACAATATTTTTTTACAATTGAAATAAATTTTAAAAGAGGTTTAAAAATATTTTCTAAAGAAAGCAGGTAATAAGTTATTAAAGGAGTTTTAGAATGATAATACCCGTACTAATTTCCTGTCGCTGTTTCTTTGATTAACCTTGTACGTCGAATTTTCTGGAGCTTTTGTTCTCTTACTATCGATTGTACGTGATATTGCCATGTAATGCGTTTTGTTTTATCTTTAGCTTATATAAGTGCGTATTTAAAAGAAGTAGAGACATTTGCAATTTTAATTTATACCACACAACGTGTGTCACGTAAAGTGAATGCAACATACGTATGGCCAACCATGTGGGAACGCCTTTCTGCCCTTGCCAGACTTATCTTATACAGCATATATTTCGCCAGTTGCGCGTCAATACATACATACACACATACATACGTACATTTATATATGTACACACATGTAAAATAATGTATATAATATATAACGTACATATAAACACAAGTATCATATATATGTGTATTATATATAAATTACATATAGGCTCCATACATATTTATATCTAACACTAGATCGCTGACTTGTACTACCTATATACCGTGCATAAAAATTGATTCCAAAACCTATGTATTACATAGCGTGATATAGAAATACAACGGTCACGTGGTCACATAATGTGTAATGGCTGCGATAGGGCCACTTCAGCCACATGTTTGCGTTATATATTCATGCTTTTACGTTAAAAGTTACAATACCGATATCTTGCCGCGTGAAAAGTTGTCACGGTTTAAGTGGAAAAAATTCGGAGATAATATTTCGTAGATAAGTTGCAATCAATCATGGTATACGGTGTCGGTGTAACATATACATGCGCATGCGTTGACTAGTAATGTTCCTACGTCACGGGCATATACACCATGAGTTTAGTACATACTTTTCGGAATCATATATTAGAGCCAAGTCAGCGATTTAATGTTCGATATAAATATCTATGATAGACTCCCTCTCTAAAACTTTTAGAGCGAACTCTCACTCCGAAGAGTGAACTCTCGAAGATTGAAAATTGATCTACTCTTTTTCAAGACCGGTTCAATTTTCATTCTTTAAAATGTAAAACTAAAGAATTCGGAAAAACTTATTTAATTTATTTTCCAAATTTTGTAAAGTTCTTCTGATAGCCTGGAAACGCGTAATTAACAGTATTATGTTCCGTTACTGATCATTATCAGGTTTATGAATGTAGAAGCCACCTGTCTGTACGTAGCCACGCGCTGCATAGTATACTTGCATAATTGCGGTAGCGAAGCGCACGATCTTAAGGAGCGTAATCGTAAATGGGAACGTAAAAGCGTATTTTTACGATCGTATTTCGTTTCCTATCGAAGACATGCCGTTTTATCGGCAGTTACCGGGAATGCGCTATTAGGCCCGTCAGATTCTCTCGGCTATCTCGAATCAGGCGCCGCGACGCTGGCGTTCGCTATCACGCCCCATTCGATTAATCCACGATCAAAGCCAGCCGTCTTGTGTATCGCGAGTCTTGTGTATCCCTCTGATAGAAAATCAATTTGCTGCTAACGAAAATATGGAAGATATTTTTGCTCGTATTGATAGCTCTCAGCAAAAGAAGAAGCTCCGCAATCCTTAATTTTCTATCGAACGTTCTTTGGGGTTCCATGTTGATTAAGTCCCGATTCTATTTTTTCCTAATACGCTAAAAGCTTATTCAAGTAAATCTGTATGACCCCATATCAAATACGAGTGAAGAATTTAATCAGTCAAATGTAAAAGAATGCCGTATTATTATTATCCATACTTTATTGGATAATACAAAGTCTAGGTAAATTTATAAAGAAGCGCTACGTGTTTTTGCAAAATATAAGCGAATATGATTTAACGTATGAAAAACAAGTAGATACTCAGTGGAATTTTCAAATTATTGATGATGCACGTTGAGAGATAAAATACCAAAAATAAAATACCACCTTCTTACCGAATCTTTTATCTACCAAGCAATCATTCAGTAGGAAAAGTAGCTTCGCAGCTGTTGTAAAATTCTTTAACATCATTGGTTTATACATTTAGATCCCGTGAGGAACTAAAGGCCAAAACCAATCATATTAAGCTATCATCACATTATAAGTTGTTAGTTGGAGTTTCTGGTTTCTATTTTAACCAATCATGATGCAGCTAGTCCGTATTCTAAAATAGAATCGTCAACCGACAACCGTAACCGGCAACCTAATAGTGTGATTACGGCTTTAAAGAATTTTACAACAATTACAAAGCTGTTTTTCCTGTTTAACGCAGCTATTAACTACAAGATTGATGGTATCACTAAGACGTGTCCCTGTTTCTCATTGAGAATTCACGATTATCGAGCCAAGCGATGAGATTCATCACGAAGAGACTCATTACGCGGCATTACGTGTGTGCACGCGACGTGTGTGTGTGTGTGTGTGTGTGTGTGTGTGTGTGTGTGTGTGTGTGTGTGTGTATGTGTGCATATATATATATATATATTCAGGATGCATCTTGCATCCTGGATGGGAATGACGATGTGTTAACGCGCCAGTTTCGTTTTCGTTCGTGGAATACGCAACGAATTTCGCGCCATCGATCCCGGTATAGTCTATCGTCACTGTTGGCTTGTGTCGCTCTTACTACCGCTCGTCGATTATTTACGAGACGAAAAGTAGAATGTGACTGTGCGCCGAACGTGTAAGTGACTGTACCCTTCGATAATAGGTCGTTATCGATAAAGCCGATGGCGCGGGTCACTTCGGTGAAAGTCGTTCGTTCGCCTCCGGATGAGAGACTCCGTCTTGGCTGTGAGAGCTTTCTCTCAAGGAGCAATCTCGTTTCTATGAGAGCCACGTTTAATTTTCGCTCCCCTGCGTACTTTATTGAGCGGAGCGATTTACAGGGCGGACGCGACAGATCTGTACGTGTGCGCTTAAAAAAATGTCTTTGCGGAAATTAGACTTCTCACGGAACTTGAAATAGGGATTAATAACAGAGATGTGGTTTTTTTTCTTATAAGAAGAAGTTTTTTTTTAACACATAAAACATGCGTTTCACGGAAGGAGAGGTTTCGCTAAGATATTAAAAAATTTAGTTAAATACAGATATGAAAATAATTTTGTTGGACTATCAAAATAATTATATAGGACACTCAAGCTGAGTAGTAAAATGTTGAAACCTGTTAGTATTATCATCAACGCTTAAGCGTTTTCCATAATTATTTTGATGGTCCAACAATTGTCATTTATATAATATCTAAATTTTTACATTTCTTTAGTAAAACTATTTTTTCTGTGTAGCCTGTGGAGGCTTCATAAATAATACGTTTAATAATTTTTAATTACTGAACAAATGCATTATGTTTACATACTATAGATAAATTTATTGTTCTATACAAAAATGCTATAAAGAAAAGGTAACAATAATGAGTAATTAACTATATTAACGCTTGACAAGCGTTGCATCTTACGAAGGCCAAGATAAGACTTTGAGACATGTTAAATGGTAGTTAATGCTCCGTCCATTCTTTACGCGAATATTTCAGTGTTTCTTGTCAAGAATGTCTTCGAAACACCTATAAAATATTAACGTGTTTATGCC